CAAGCACCCACAAACACTCTAGGAATTCAGTGACTTGCTCTAACGAGTACCGTAGTTAAATCAAGGGGACCGATGAAGATAGGAAGATTAAGTCTCACTGAGAAAGTCTAGTCATTCCAGTCAGTCAACAGTTTCGTGTCATATGATCCCCCTGAGGGTCAGTTATGTTATAAATTGCAAAGCACAAGGTTATCATAATAGTTGTTACTTATTTTCAAACGGCAATAAGTTTTTGATAAGACGCTTCAGGAAAGATTTATTCAGGACGTAATGGATTTCTCTGCCGTTAATGGCAAAGATATCGTATATTAGTTTGAACTTTACACCTTGTCACCCCACTTTTTGTAGGGGTACATCTGTATTATTTTTGTAGTCAGAGAGCAAATTTTCCTTGAGTAAATGGCATATAAAGATAGAAGTGAGCGAAAGGCACAATGGGTACGCGTGTTTTACCAGGAATATGGGTTAGACTCTACGTAAACAGTCAGATTTGTTTGAGTTCAAACAAGACAAAGTTTCTTCGGTTTTGAAGGACTCAAACGTGTCAATGAAAATGGATGAAGTGGCAATGTTTTGAAGGAAGGATATTATGGTGTGGCGCTAAATATGTCGAGACTTTCTAGCTAGTGGCCTAGAAAACCCATTATTGGTATTGTGTTCTGTCAAGACACCTTAATACAACACTTGATAAGATTAAAAACTTTATCTTCAGTAAACTACCTAATAGTTTATAGTTGCTTTTCGTGTGTCCTACTGGACGAGACTGATAAGTTGTCCTGTCACGTGTGATTTTCTGAGAGTATTTATCGCATGAGGCCTCAGAGCTAGCCTAGTAAGTCGTAGATTTCGCGGAACATCATCCTTTGGAAGCTTCACGTATTCCTCATGGGCGTTTTTTCTATTAGGCGGACGATCTAATGGGTTTGTTAGTGGTCGGCAACTAGAGTTTGTTCCTATCAACGGACTGGAGGGCGATATTTCTAAGAAATTTACCCTATTCTTCTCCAACATAACTTTGTTTTCTCCGCCAGAATACCGTTCTGCAAAAGCGTCCTAGTAAGCTATTCTTAACTTTTAAAACGCAGCATACTCAGTTGATGGATTGGTCGTGCAGAGACATATTGAAACAAGGAGAAAATTTTTTCACATGAGGATGTCCAAGACTAATAAGTAGGCAACCTTTAACGCTTAATGAAATTGAAATCCAGCTTAAAGTGCTACCCACTTTGTCGTCACTTGGTATACTGAACTGCACTTTGAATCTGGCTGAATTCTACTACCAGATCATAAGTATCAATGTTGCAGCTCGAACTTCCTTCAAAGAGGAGAATAAGGATATTGAGTAATATAAAGAAAAATTTGTTTCCCAAGTTCCCCTGAATACTGAGTGACTGAAGCTTCCATCCATGCAGAGTCAAACATGCAGTTGTGCCATATTTCCAAACTGTATTCTGAAAATATCACGAGGTCAAAAATCATCGATAAGACTGTCACATCTAAACATCACTGTTATAAATCATGGCTAAAAGGCTGCCTGTATTCTTAGAAGCAATCCAGCTAGCCCCTCACAAGCCTAAGGTAGTAAAGAGAGAACTTTTATCACTTGCTAGATATGGTAATAATCCGTTTCTCATGATGATCATTACCAAAAACGGAACTAATGATTTGCCAACACACTTCTCACAACAATCTGTTTGACATCCACAAGGTGGATGCTGTTGTAGAATAGCACCAGGTGGTGGAACAAACCATCGGGCACTTCTGCTACAACGTAAGGAAGTTAAGAGGTAAACTAGAAGAAACTATAAATATGTGCTTTTAGGTGGATCAAAAGATCATAGTCCTAACTGAAACATGGCTGCCTCCCGACGTCACGGATGAAAAAGTGAGCTTGCAAGGAATGCCTTTTTTCAGATACTATGGATTACATAAAAAAGGAGGCGGAATGGTGACATATATTACTTACTTACGCCTTTTACTCCTCGTGAAGGAGCATAGGCCGCTCACCAGCATTTCCCATCCAACTCTGTCCCAAGCAATCCTTTCCAGCTCTTTCCAGTTGTTATACATCTGCTTCTATTCCCCGACGTAATGTGTTCTTTGGCCTTCCTCTTTTCCGCTTCCCTTCAGGATTCCAAGTTAGCGCTTGCCTCATAAAGTAGTTTGATGATTTGCGTAATGTATGTCCTATCCATTTTCATAGTCTTCCTAATTTCTTCTTCAGCTGGAAGCTGATTTGTTCTCTCCCAGAGAAGGCTGTTGCTTATGGTATCCGGCCAATGAATGTTGAGTATTTTGCGTAGACAACCATTTATAAATACTTGTACATTCTTGATGGTGGTTGTTGTAGTTCTCAATGTTTCAGCCGCGTACAGTAGAACTGCCTGGACATTCGTATTGATATAAATTAACGGTCACTAAAAAACGGTAATACTACAAAGTACCGTATTAGCTGAGCTTTGAGAATCATAATAGCGTTGCCTAAATGAAAACGGCACAAAGTATTTGACCGGGAGATTATGCCGGCAACCATAAGTTCTGAAGTGAACGAAACCTGGGTGGGTATAACCAATTTATTGTTCAATGCAAAAGTACACAGTGACTTAGTGAAGTACAAAAATCATACACCAAATACATCTTTTCGTTGACCTTTACCCTATACATTGTCCATCTAATTTCGTCTTTGTTTTCACTCCTCTGCGATTTTCTTTCTGTTTTCTTCGATTTAATGTTCTGCTACAAGGGATTCGTTTCCCGATCGGTACAACTTATATATATTTGTCAGCATAAGTAGCCTACACCACAGTCCCAACACTCGAAATGATGAGATTATACAGACATGTCTGTGGTTTGGCCATAAATTACCAGCTGGGAACCTCAACACTATATCCCTGCATCTCGACAATCAGGATATTATTCCTACGGAGTGGTCTCATAAGCAGCCGTCGGAACTTTAGGAGTGGCTCAACATGCGTGTGGTGCCACGAAATGAGACAGGGACAAAGAACCTTCAAATGCAAATTATTTACTAACAAATGGTCAGCTTCTATTTGAGGATGTCCATATCCCTTCACCAGTAGGAAGTAGTCTCCGTGACACAGTCATGTTTGATGTGAAACCGATAACATTCAAGTCAAGTGCCAAGAAAATCGAAACAGGCCACTCTACCAAATCTCCGAAAAAACGAGTAGGAAAGATGCAGCCCCTTACAGACGAGTTTCATTAATCCCAATGCAATCGAAGGTAATGGGAGAACTGGTTAATGAACAAATGAGGGAACATAAAGATAAAAGCTGCGTCCTCCATTAAGTCCAACAGGGGGCCAAGAAAGACAGGTTATGTGCGCCCAATCATTGATCCATTCTTGTCCTTGATCCTTAATAACTACCTGTTGTACAAAACTAGCTCAGTGGCACAGATCCATGCAGATAACACTAAGAACGGGTGGTTCACAAAAAGCGGAGATTAACCTAAGCTCTAAAGACGATTTGCAAAAATAGAAAAATGGGCAGTAGACAGTGAGTTAAAACCTAACTTTTTAAAATGTGATGTCATGAACATTCTGCTTCACTAATAAAACATAGGTACGGCCCCACCTCGAAGTCCATAAAATCACTGAACTGCTTCCATTTAGAACAATCATGAGTCTCTTATACCATCTACAGAGACGGGGAATGAAGTGGGTTATAGGGCTAAAACAAACTTTCACAAGGACAGGCTGAGCTACAAGAGAGTAAGAGATTACTTGATAATAGAATATAACATTTTAAGTATGCTGAGTCACTCGAACAGGAACATATTATCAGGACTTCACCGTCACGCTCCTCGAGGCAGTCAGCGAAAATTTACTTATCAAAGAGCAAAAACCCAGGTACACTCACACTTGTCTCGTTAACAGTTGCTACCATTTGTAATGTTCTTTCGGACGAACTGGCCACAGCCTCTTCAGTGGATTGATTCAAGATGAGTTTCAGCAAACACGCGTCCACCCGTGGATTACAACCCCCTCCCGGGTCAGCTGTGTCTGATGAGTGTCTCCCAAATTGCCAGCTGTCATTACCGCTTATCAGCACCTACCTTCTACCTCTCTTATTTTCATCTCAGTTTGCCCTTTTATTCTTATATTTCGGTCCACCCAATATGTTGGGATTACTAATAAACTTATTTGTTTGTTTCTTCAGACAATCATTTTCGATTACCCTTATGAAGCAAGTTTAAACTGTGAAATTGCAGTTTTTCAAAAGGTTTGACATACAGCTGTTCACTGAAATCACACTTGAAAGCCTGAAACCAAAACTGAAATGTAAATACTCTGATAGTCTGATTTGAAGCACTTCAAATGATGTGACATGATAATGATCGGTTAATAACCGATTTAGATGAAGATAATTAGAATAAGTATTTTGTCTACATCCAATTCTTATCACTCCAATTGGCATCTACGTTTATCCTCCTAATATATTTAATTAGTCTTCCTATACATTACCAATTAAGTGAATTATTTAATAACTTTCGAAACAATTTTCTTCTCCAAACGCTCGTATTATCAATCTGTTTTTAGCACGTTACAATCTACCAACTTCCTGCTCGGTATTAAGATAACCTTACTAACCTGAGGCAACCTCGATCGACTACATGATATACAAATCCATAAATAGCTATTACACTGATTAGAATTGATGCATTCCATTGGCTAGTCTGCCGTAAATTGAACACTACTAGCTGCCCTCAACAATGCCAAAACAACAAGATGCGAGAGCAAACATAAAAATCGGTTTATGAAAGCTTGTGACAAAGATATAAGGTATTGGGCAACGATAAGAACGCACAACACAAACAAGTCATATTATTTGCCTTGACGAGCCCTTTCAACAAATTTTCCCTAACTCAGGCCAAAAGTTGCGTGAAATAGTAATAAAGGGGGAAAGTGTACCCACTTTAAACCTTAAATTGGACTTTGCCAGGGATTGTAACATAGCTTGAAAATAACGCTACAAAATATGCTCAACCAAGGTTATCACATTTTAGCTGAGCTGTTAGTGTATTATCTATTTTCCTAACCTGTTTTTCTATGAAGAACCCTCCTAAAACTGAAAAACATATCTGGAGTTATTGTTAGTCCATGTGAAAATGATCCACTTAGTTTGTGCTGTAATTGCATAACTGAATTTTAGAATGGCTCGGGATTATTTCTGTTCGAAGTGGTTACTATTTTGGAGGAGTTTTCGATTTTGTCTTATCTCTGCCAGATGATTTTCCATCAACAAAACTGCCGGTGAGTAAATGTTTCAGGGTCGGTTTTTGGAAATATGAATATATGTTTGTTTACCCAGTTTACTAACCGTTTACTCACTTCTAATAAACAAATCCCATGTTTCTGTTATCTTAAAGTCATCGCAAAGTTTGCCTATACGGTCTACCGTATGAATCAGTTTCAGCCTGCCCAAGCTTTCTGGGGTTTTGGTGCCATTTCCCCAAAATTTTCTATAGCGGCTTCCCCAAAACGGGTCAAATTTTCCCCAAAATTGGGAGGTTGGGTACTTACTCGGGGTATATTCCAATCTTTCATCCTCATAGCTGAGAACTGATATATACTCTGTTCAATGTTTAGTCAGATACCGCGTAAATTTACGGTCTGTGAAAGATTCATGTTTAGCCCATTGGTTAAAATACTGACATGGTCTTCAACATAAAATTTGACTTTATTAGTTCCTCGTTAATCCGAGTTACTGTTTTGAAGGTGTGGGTTTACACTTGACTAAGTGTTTAGTTCCGTTGGTGCAGTTGGCGGTCGGCTACTAGTCATTCACTTTTTGTTTGTCATACAGAGGGTTTTAGTTACCTGAAAGCAGGTTGTTTTCTTGTTTTAAAGTAGTTGATGGCGTTTTGGATTTTTCTTTACCTGGAAATAGTATTTTCAATCTTGAGTATGTGAATAATTTTGTCTTACTATGTGATGTTGCTCATGCCATGCAATTCGTGTTTATTCAGTTGGCAATCAATTTCGAAAGGTGTTGCATGTACCTTGGACCTTTTTAATGTTGGGCACTTCTGCGAGGCCCACGGGAGCTTGTGCCTACGTCTAATTATCGTGTTGTCGTCAGAATTACTCAAAAAGCTTGTACATTTAGGTAGTCATATGGATGCTGGTGGTGGCGTAACTGATGGTATCAATCTGCTTACATCAAAGGCTGAGAGATAGAGACTTATGTAAATCTGGGCCATCTTTAGCGCCATCTTGATCTTAGTCTGGCTGTTAGAGGTAGGGTCTGCAACGTACTGATGAGTTCGAATGCGGTTGGAAGTATACTTATCTCCCTATAGTTATTGGATAGATTATATAAACCATTTTTAAAGATGGGGACAACAGTCACTTTATTCTTGGGTGTTGCAACACTCTAGTTCCCGAGTCCTTCTAAATAACCTTGAACGAGGTATGCTACCATCCTTAAAAAAGAACCTGGTGGCTTGTGGTGCTTTAAAGGTTGGGGTTTTTTGTGGTCCTCTGCCGTGTTTCAGTCGTCCCTGGTTAGGTAGGGCAAGATAGTCTGATTGATGTTGCTGGGGCAAATCGGTATTTGATGTGTCCTTCGTACTCTGCCCATCATGATACGTTCGTTAACTGTACCAAGAATTCGCAACTCCAACCTCAATATCGTGGACAAAATTATTCTATTTTTTCGCCACCTCGCTAACTCGACTATGAGCACCAGTTTTGCAAGTAAAAGTTTCTGATCTTGACCCAGTGTAATTAATCAAAACACAGGATTTGTCGGTGATACATCAATCAAAAATAACTAGCATGTTTGAAATGACTGATTGTCATTGAAACAAAATATCTTAAAATATATTGAGATTTTATATATGGTGATCACACTGAATAACAAACTGCAATAGAATCTCAGCCTAATTTATATTTATTTGATTCTCATAACTTTTAATTTTAGATTATAACTCCCCAACATCTCACTAAGGTTTTCATCTAAGGTCAAATATTCAATGATTGTTAAGTGGTTAAAATACTCAACCCTACTTCACTTGTTTTGGTCTATACAGATGTTTTATGCTATAGGGTCAGCGTATTAGCACTGAGCCCAAGTCAACCTATCCGGTAGTTCTGAATGTGTTCTCACTACGGAAGACTAGTCATCAAACGTCCTATTGTTTTCCTTAACAATGGTCAGAATGTATTATCAAATAATCTAATCTGATAACTGGGATATGCGTCAACCAGATCATACTCCGTTTTTGTTATTTCTTTTTACACCCAACTTTTATGTCTTTTTTCACTACTGTCCTGATTGTATCTCACTTGTGTTGACGTAAATCAAGACAAGACTGAACTGGTTACAAGATATATTCTAAATAGACAGGAACAACAATTTACAGTAAATAAAGTAGAATTTACATTTAAAACGTATAGTATCCTTTTGATTTGTTCACTAGCGTTTAATGATTGAATATAAACCAATTGATATATCAGATTTTAGTTTGCACTGAACATTAGACATTAGTCGTGCCCCCAAATGCCCTGGTACGGCCGAGAGTGGAGAGAGTCCGCTCTCCCTCTCGAAATGCTCTCACATGGCCACGCGTATATAGCATCTGCCAGGGAAGTCCTATTCACTGCCTTCTCGTGGCGGGGGTGTTGTTTACGAAAATGTGAGAACGAAAAGCGATGTCCGGCGCCTTAACCGGATTCCAAACCAATGGTGCACATGGGCTCCAGTATCCTGCGGGAACAAATGGCGAATGAACCAATTGTTGGTCACCGGCTTCCATGGGACTGCATCTCCTTACGATGCTCCACTGCCTTGTGGATCAGACCCTCAGGTCGAAGGCTCGGGGTGTTGCCCCCTAAGAAAACCACCTGCTTCGGTTTGGGCACCCGGGCAGTATCACAGCCCTCACAAATATCGAATGAGTTTTGTGTGGCGCATATGTATTTGGTGCCTCTTTGTACCAACATCTATGTGTTGAAATAAATAAATTAAAAAAATATAAATTTGATTAATAAGACCTTATTTGTTCCCTACGACGATAGCTTCGTAACCAGGTTAGGGGAATCAGGCCACGAGGGCACTGAATTGTGTGGCTTTCGTGTAGGGATGGGTAAAATAATCAGTTCCATAATTCCACTTAGTTCTATCTTTGGTTTAGGCCAATAACTGGGTCAAATGAGTTGGTTCCTTTCGTCAGTTACGGTCAATTTTATGGTATCCCTAGCCTTTGGAAAACAATGATTTAAGGCCAGGACTATAGGCTGCCACTTGGTAAAGGAGTTCATAATTGTATGAAAAGTTAATAATTGGTGGTTATGTTTTAAAATCGTTTGTATCAGAAAGCAATATCGGACTGCAAGTTGTCTTTGTGGCCAATGTAGGACTATCTTTAGAGTATCTAAATATGCTTTTTAATGCTATTAAAAATATTTTTTCTTAAACTAAGACACCTATTGATGTACAGATGTTAGTTCTTTACATATACCTTGGTCAAAAGCTTTTGTAATGTTTTTATAGATTGGGAGTGTACATTTGTTCTTATGTATCTCGTTCTTTTCATTTTAGAAGCTCTATTTATGTAAAGAATTTTATCATCCTCATGTAGACTGGATTACCGGAGAGGTGAGCGTGCACACGGAATTCCCGATATGGAATCCAGACAAGCACCATATTTGGCATATTCTTCATTATTTTAAACGGTTGTTGACTAGTCCAACAAGTATTATTGTTTCATCACTTGCAGAACAAACTGCTTGTATCAAAAACATGAGAGATATGAAGTATGCTAATCCAGAAGCAGCTAACGCACTGATTCACCATCCGGAAGAATTCGATACTCGGGCTAAAGGATGTGTCACTAAACTCTCTGTATGGACACAGCCATCACAGGATATCCCTTCATTAAAGTAAGTGATTATACGGGATCTCATATAATTTTGTGCATTGTTTTAATCGGATATAATTTTACTGTCAAACATTATTGCGTCGGTATTGTTACATAAATAGTATCTGGTTGTAACTTTACTCAGAACAGTAAGAGATTTTGAAATTACAGAAAGTTTAAGAACACTTAGAGTTACTCTTCTTGGATTGGTTTTCAATTTTCACATAGTATCTCCAAGTTTCGATCTCAATTATCTTTGGGATGTTGTTGTTCTTCCAGTTTTTGTCGACTAAATTATTTTATTTATTTCAAACTATTTACCTTAACTACGCCAATTAATGTATGGTTTCATAGTATACAAGAAGTATTTTGACAACTTTGATCATCGAATACTTTCAATCTCACTTCATCCACTGTGTATAAAAACTGGTCGTCGCTAAAACTTTGAGGCAGTCAAGTGACGGGGGGCGCAAGCATGACTTTATTAGATTCTCTAATTTGCTTTCTTTCGTTACATAGTTGACAGTCAGCCAGTCAGTTACAACGTAGGACCAGGCACATATATGCATCAGTCCAAGATGTCACACCTCATTAGCACAACAAGATTAACACCGAATTCATAGAAGTAGTTACTTCAATGGTATTAATATATGAAAGAAAGATTGTGTACAAGGATATAGTACATAAAGGAAGAATTCTTTCGTAGAAAGAAAGATATAAAGCAATTTTAATCTCATGATTTAAGGGAGGACAAAGAGTGTATACACCGATGCCAATGTGATCGATCCTGAGACATGTCACCCATAATCTCTAACTATTGGCTGCGATAGTCACGTGAACCCCAACCAAGTAGTCTGCATCTGTCAACATGGCTCAGAGTAGAAGTTAGTGACTTCAAGCTCTCATGCCACGTTTTGGTTTGGCTGCCCCCAACTTTCTTCTAACCGTTTCCAACACTCGTCAGCATTGCGCGTCGTGGTAATCGGTGTTCAGACACACGCAATACGTGGCCCAACCATCTCAGTCGATGAAGATTCACAATCTCATCAATTGACTTACCATCATTCCTTAATACCCTGCGTCTAACCTCACTATTACTTACCCGGTGATCCCAGCTGTTAGGTTTGTTAAGCTTGAACGCTATTACTGATTCGTCTTATTCGAAAGGAACGAAGGATCAATGACCCGACAGCTATCCTGGTCCGTTATCCCTGACTCAGTTAACTCGATCAAGAAGTCTGGGTGAGGCGTAGAAAGTGTATTCTACAGCCAAACAGCAGATTACAAGTCAGGTCAAGCACACAAATCAAGCGTATTTATACAAATATTTGCAATCGATATAGTCATGGAAAATTTTAAACATTAATCAATGAGTTCATCAATTGACCCACATACAAATATTTAAACATTTAATCGATAAGCTGATCGATAAGATAAAATTTAAAAATATGAGTTTGGGGATCTATCGTCCCCAACACCAGCAGATGCCAGTAATATTTCTAAGGCATCTGTTGTCAAATACTAGTAGCTTACGAGTATCTTCGACTCTTAATGGCCATGTTTCGTTGCTGTAAAGTAAAACAGAACGAACTGCTGCGCAGTATACTCGTCTTTTTATTGATAGACGGATATCTCGTCTTCGCCATAGGTGACGTAAGTTGTCAAAAGCTAAACGAGCTTTTCGAATCTGTGCAGAGATTTCGCCAGACACTGACCCATTAGGGTTGATCAGACCTCATATATTGATGCACACCAGTCCTGAATCAGCAATTTGCATCTAGAGGGGAAGAAGCGCACCTAGAACTTCCTGACATTGTTGCTCAGTGCTACAAGAAGACTGCATTTTATCAGCGCGTTTACCAAACAGGACTATATCATCTGCGTATTCTAAGTCGATAAGTGGACCTCCTGGTAGTAGATCAATGCCCAAAAATTCAGTCGACGAGAACTTTATGTCCATCAGTAGATTTATGATGAAGTCAAACAAAAATGGAGAAAGTGGACAGCCTTGACGGATACCACTTGAGGTTGAAAAATCAGATGACAGTTCGCCGTAAGCTCTGACTCGACTAGTAGTGTTCAAGTAAAGAGCCTTCACAAGGCTTATGTATTCCTGAGATACGCCCTTCAGTGACACACTGCCACAGAATCTCGCGGTCTACAGAGTCAAATGCTGCTTTTAAGTTAAGACCATCATTGTCGGACGCCGATAAGTATGCATGCGTTCTAGAACTTGACGAATGGTGAATATGTGGTCGATGCAGCCACGATCAGGTCTGGAGCCAGCTTGATTTTCTCTTGTTTGCAGTTCACGAGTCTTAGTTAGGTGTTCGATAATTATTGAGGCTAGTATTTCAGATGCTATATTAGTCAAACTAATCCCTCTATGGTTATCTCAGGATGATTTTGACCCCTTCTTATATATTCAAACAATCAGTAATTGTGACCAGTTAGATGGGATAACATCCAACTCCAAGATTTTAGCTAAAATATTAGTCAACCTAATCACTAAAATTGGACCACCATCCTTAAAGACCTCTGGGGCTAATCCATCTGGACCAGCTTCCCTTCCTCGTTGCAGATTAACTATAGCCTTTTGAACTTCAGTTAGGGTTGGGGGATCTACTTCAATGTTCCATTCACACTGTCTGGGAATGGAGGGTAGTTGTAGATTAGCTGAAGGCCAGCTGAACTGCTCCTTAAAATTTTCCGCTCATCGTTCTAAACGTTTGGACTGAGAGAAAATAAGAGTGCTGTCTTTTCCCGAGATTGTTTCACTTACACTAGACATCTTAACTCCACTTTCTTTTATTGATCTGAAAATCTATCTTGTGTTACCTATAGTCTATGCTTTTGTCGCCCACCATTGCTCACGATCGTTTCGTAGACTTTTAGTTAACCTGATTTTTTTCGTTCTTCATTGTGTTCAGAGCCTGATGGGATGAGTTTACGAGAATCCCTTGGTTTTTCGTAACCCTTTGGCTTAAACCACTAATAGATGTCACTGCTGTTTCCACAGCTATTCATATATCTTTCCAAGCAACATCTGAGTCACTTTCGTTTTGGGAATTGCCTAAGTGTGACCTTAGTTGTTCCTGGAATCTTTTTTGGCTTTCTCATCACTGAGTTCAATTTTAATAAGTCTTCCTAATGTGGTTTTTCTGCTTCCAGTGAGGCGCAAGCAAATGCGTGCTCGTGTTAAAGCATGATTGGAGTCCAAACAGGTATTCCAGGACAAGCGACAGTCATCTGTCAAACCTCTCCAACGATGACTGATGGCAATATGGTCTATTTGAGTCCATCGTTGGTTTGGTGCAAGAAGTCACCATGTTAGAAGATGTCTCCTTATGCTTAAAATTGGTGCTTGCTAAAAACAAAAGATTGTCTGAGCACAGTTGTAGCAGACGATCATCATTATCTGTTCGCTGCCCGACCGAAGCTGCTACCTTGACGTGGTGGTCGGGCTTGCCTATCGTGATGACCCATCCGAGCTATATTGGCTGGAACATATGTTCCTGTAGGTTCTACCATGCCAGGCAGGTCGATTGGTGAACGGTAAGACTAAAAGCAGCAACTCAAAGTCTGAGGGCGAAGTCGTACTGCTGACTGTACAGAGGTGTGACAGCAGTAAGGTGTTTCCTTCGGACAATCAGCATGACAGCGATGCTGCCTTCCCACAAGGAGGGGTGGGGTTAGAAAAGGTCGACCCTAAAAATGTCACACCTCACCTTACCTCACGGATTTCCGTCTCCGGCGGTAAGGCCATCTGAAGAACGGAGCTAACACGTCAAAAACCTTCTACAAAAAGGCCGTGCGCGACCGGCCTCAAGCAGTTGTCCCTTGGGCTCTGCGGTCACGCTCCCAGGTCGTTAAGACCAACACTAATCCAATTTCCTTTTCAGGTTCCTCAAGAAATACCCTTCCACGGTGTGGGCAGCCGGGAAGTGACATCAGCCCTCATACCCGTAACAGCACGCGAGACCAAGTTGGTCACATTCAAATCCTTCCTACACCTTCTAATACCTCTCTTATCTCCATGACTAACCCTCCTCACGTCTCTTTATCACCTCGCACCGCTAGGGCAAACGATTCGAGTACGTGGAACTCTATTCCTGGTCTCCTCAAACCACGCTCTAAACTACACGTAGGAGCTTTTAACGTCCGAACACTGTGCCAAATAGGACAGCAGGCTTCCTTAGCTAGGACTTTAGAATCTCGCGCCATCGATGTGTGTTGCGTCTCCGAAACGCGCATACAGGATCCAAGTAGCATCATTCATTTGACCTCACCATGCCAAAATAAAGAACCGACTCGATTTACGCTTCGTGTATCTGGAAGCCCTGATTCTGCTTCCCGTGGCCTCGCCGGCGTAGGTATAGCATTGAGTTCCAGAGCAGAACTAGCTCTCTTAGAGTGGATCCCAGTAGACAGTCGTTTGTGCGCTGTCCGACTGAACGGAACAGTAAGAATCCGGAAAGATAGGGACACTCGTCGTTGCCTCTTCGTCGTCTCTGCCTATTCTCCCACTGACTGCAGCTCAGATGATGTAAAAGATGAGTTTTACAGAAAGCTTTCGAACCTTCTCCGAAAAGCTAAGCTCTCGGATGTAGTAATAGTGGCCGGTGACTTTAATGCTCAAGTAGGTAAACTAAGCGATAGGGAAAGACACCTGGGTGGATCTTATAGTATAGTGGCTCAAAGAACAGATAATGGCGACCGTCTGTTGCAGCTATGCTCAGATAATCGCCTGTTCCTTGCAAATACTAACTTTAAGCATAAGGAAAAACATCTTTTAACATGGCGACCCCCTAATTCGTCCCAACGTTGGACCCAAATAGATCACATCGCTATCAGCCACCGATGGAGGGGCTCGATAGAAGACTGTCGCTCATTCTGGAGCACATGCCTAGATTCAGATCATGCTCTAGTACGAGCGCGTATTTGCCTGCATCTTACTGGACGTAGGAAAACCGCTGCAAGGAAACCTCTTAGGGGCCTACTTAATGATAGTCAAGCTAAGAG